GTCGGGCATGGGTCGAAGCAGGGCTGCTGGCACGGGTCGCAGCAGACGGACTGCTGGCATGGGTCGCAGCAGGGCTTCTGGCACGGGTCGCAGCAGGACTGCTGGCACGGGTCACAGCAGGGCTTCTGGCATGGGTCGCAGCAGGTGGACTGCTGGCATGGCTGGCTGCAGCAGACCGTTTTGCTCTTCACGATGGAGCAGCATCCGGTAGAGCAACATCCAGTAGAGCACATGCTGTTTGTAGTGTAGTCAAAGTTGGAAGGAGGGAGGACCTGAAACACAGTGTATTTTCAGATACAACCCATCTTTCCAAGTATATAGATGTCCCAAGACTATCCTTGGAACTAACTTTCCTGTGCTCATCCATGAAGATCACCCCCTGAATTTCCACCCCAAGGAGCTTATTTTCCACCGTGCTCTCTCTATCAACCGTCTTTTGCAATAAACAATAGAACAACAGGCCAGGAAGATCTGGATTTCAAAGGGAGCTGTAGATCATAGAAACATAGAATCGTAGAATAGTTTGGGTTGGAAGGGACCTTTAAAGGTCATCTACTCCAACACTCTACAAAGATTAAATATAAAGACACATTTCAGTTCATGGCTTGACCAAAACCAAACAAGAACCGTTGTTAGCAAGGAACACGGCTAATAGGTAACACTTACCGTGCTAACTGAGTGGTGCAGTTGAGTGAGGAGCAAAGGGATGGGGACACCTTTTATTTAGCCCGAAATTGTCCTGCCGGAAATGAGGTACCCCACAGCAATTTGTGATTTACGCACTAAGCCTATATTTATTTTTTGAATGTGCCTTCATCTATTTAGTCTTTGCCTTATTGTTTTTGACCAACCCCTCAATTTTGTGTTATTATCAATTTGTTCTGTAAATTTTTTACAAATTTTTAATGTCAAGTTAATTCTTGTGTGATGCTTGTGAATTTCTTAAAAGGTATGTTTCTACTCATTTTGCATACATAATGTTGTTACATTGAGATGCTAGGTGGCTTGCTCAGAGCTAGTGAGTGCTCAATTAACATAAAAATCATAATTAAGATTGAAGAGCAGTGGATTCCAGAGGCATGTAGAGGCCTTCTGGATGTCAGTCACTCCTCGATATGATATTTTAAAATAAAATTCCGGCAAGTGTAATTCCATGGCTCTGTGTTTTGTTTTTGAATGCAGAAATGGTGAAGCCCAATGTCTTTCTTTGGAGTCTCTGGTCATCAGAAGGGCAAATACGTAACGGAAAGTTCTTGACATCTCATTCCTTGCTGCCTCATCCCACCCATGCATGGGAAAACACATGCCCTTGGCCTTGCCAATATCGGAAATTTTAAGCGCAAAGGACTGTGCAAAATCATCATGGAAATTTTGAATAGAGTTTGGGTCAAATTGGAGTCCATATTTTTCCAATTCCTTTTTCATACCTTTAAATAAAAGCAAAATGCAAAACTATTCTGGAAGTTTTACATCCTGTTTCTGCTTAGCATAACTTGATCTGCAAAATTCCTATTCCATTTTTTTACAGTTCTAGTATGCCCTCAAGCAATGAAAGATCCACCTACGGATGTTATTTTTGCAATAACTCTACGCTCAGTTCTCAGTCACCCATTGGCAGTCATTAGTGCTGATGTTAATGGTCATGTTGCAATTATTCATTAATGATGTTAATATTTATTTTACACGAAAGCCTGGGGCCTCACATGATGCCCTGCGCATCTTTAGGATTTCAAATTAAACTACGTCTTTCTAAAAAATTCTCTCTCTCCGGTCAGAGGGAATTTACGGGACCCAGGGCAGTGACTGACGTGATTAAATGTTTTATTTCTGAGATCACCCCGAGTAGGAGGGCTGGTCTTGCTGCTGCGGGGCTGTGCATCTGTGGGAGTAGAGCACCAAAGGACCCTTGACCACCCTTCCCTATAGCGTACAGCTTCACTGGACGTATCCTGATTTCTGCTGAAGTGAAGGAGAGAAGATTCAGGCTGTTTCTGTTCACAGAAACACGGAGTGGTCCAGATCAGAGATGCTGAGGACAGGGTAGGTCATTGTGAGCCTTCAGTTTGACTTCTGGTGACATAAAGCACCCGTTTTCACTCAGTTTCTGTTGGGTAGGTACCATTTTTATTTAGCTACACCCCAGCTTTTAGAAAGCTACTCAATCTTGTTTTGAAGAATTCAAAGGACCATGAAGTCACCACTTCTCCAAACAAACTCTTTCTGAGGTTTCTGTCCCCTAAAAAATAGGCTTTGTTTCCTATTGAATTTGGCTTCATGCTAATGACTGGGTTGGACTAGGTCACTGCCACACATTGTAATCTAATTAGTGATGGAGATTTACACCAGCTGAGTACCTGCATCTCAGCTAACAATAAAGGAGGCTCATGGCAACCTGGGAGATGGCTGGGAGAGGATTTCTGAGCCTGCAGAGAAATGATAAGAGACTCTGACATGAGAAACGTGGGGGATCCTGAGCAGTGAGGTAAAGTAAGCAATGTTGGTCAAAATGAGGTGGTATTCTGCATGACTTTGTACAGATCTAGTGCATTGCTTCATCCAGTGTCCCTCTGAGTCAAAAAAAATACTGCTGCTGTTAGAGTTGGATGTGAGCATTGAATCACAGAGTCATAGAATGGTTTGGTTGGAAGGCACCTTCAAGATTACCTAGTTTCAACCCCCTGCCATGGGCAGGGACACTTCCACTAGACATTGGAGATGTCTAAAGCCATGTGAGAAAGATGCAAAGGCAGCTGGGAGACCCATAACCAATTTTACAAGAGGAGTTTTACAAAACAAAAGTTTAAAATTAGATCTGAGAAAAAGTTCCCAATTAAATTTTGCATTGAGTGAATGATCTTCGCAGGCTGCTTAAGAGACCCAACGTAACACCGCTGTTTGTTTGGATTTGAGAGTTATGGATGCAGTGAAGCAATCCTTGCTGTGAAACAGCTGAGGCAAATTCCTCCTCATTAATCCTTAGGGATTTTCTCATGGTTTATCCTGGTTGTGGAAATCCATTGTTACATTATTTAACACATACTCAGCAGAGCAGAAATGTCCCTCTAAGCTATCTAGAGCGTTACTTATAGAGAACTTCTTCTCTTGCCAAGTGTCTATGGTCCCTGATTCAAAAAAAAAGGATATTCTAATGAGGTCAAGCATTCATAAAGGCTTTGGTCCTTGATGTTCCAGGTGTCAAACCTCTCCAGGGCTGACCAAAGCAAAGGAAAACAAAGGAAAAATCTTTGTTCTTTTTCCCCCATTATTGCCATCATTTCTCATCCTCAAGTTAACAGGATCTTCAAGCTTGAGCACAGCAGAAAGCGTAACCAGTTCAGAGGCGTTGTGCCTTTCGCGTGACTTGGAAAAGGAAGAGGAAACAAAATGTGCTGTGGTTACTCACAGAACAGAAAGTTGGAGGCCTGGGGAAGCAAGGGAAAGTGAATGTACGTACTTGAAGACAAAACTACTCCTGTGGACAGAAAGTTTTACTGATTCAATACCCAAATGCAGAGAGGTGAATATCGAATAAGGAAAAGAGTTTTTAATGTAAGTGCCAAGGGTCGCGTGAAAATGAGCCATCGCTTAGCAATGGCAACAACTTGAATGTGAATAAATAATTGTTCTCTGCATCCCGTTTGCAACTTTTCCTTTTTAGCAGGCTGCTCCTCTATAATGACAATTTCCCCTGTAACCTATAAATAACTAGTTCCAATTACTTATATTCCAACGGTCATTGGCTAGGTACTTGCAGTGCCCAGCTCATCGAGCCTATTTCGCGTGCCTGCCTTGGGGTGGATGAATCACGCTGGGGAAACCTCTCATTTTACACTGTAGAAATTGTTTAATTAAGGTATTCCAAGGCAGGTTCCAAACCCTGCAGGATTTGCTTTCTTTTGTTTCCAAATATAGCAGCAGCTTTTAAAGATCGTGTCTGCAGTAAAAACATGAACGTGCAGGCCAGGCCCACGGCTTTAACTGTGAAACTCCCGTTGCATCTGCTGAGCTCAGTGCAAATACTTGGTTTCACCAGGAATTAACCCAACGTGTTTCTCCTAGCACTCCTGGCATCCCTGGTGGGTGCTGTGGGCATTTTCCTTGGCTTTCGTATTTCCTTGGCCTTCCTCCTTGCTGCAGGTATTTTCCTTGGCTTTCATATTTCCTTGGCCTTCCTCCTACTTTAGCTATTTTCACCAGTGATTAAAGCGCGGCTCTAAAACCATGAGAAAAAACAGATGCCACCAGACAAACAGAGATGATGCAGCGGTGACTAAAAACATCCAGAACTGTCAGGTAGGCTTGGAATACAATTTTTATTATCTTGCTGAAGAATGAAGCAACAAAGCAAGAAAGAAGCTATTCCCAGTGGACAGAATGGTTTACATTGGCAGAAAGAAGATTAACAGCTCAAAGCTCGTTAAACCGACAGACTTCATCCAAATACCACGTTGCCCTCTAACCATTTTAAAAGTGTTTGCAAGCAATGAGCAAGGAGATGAGCCCGAGGCTTTGGACAAGGAGCGAGCTGGTGGGTCCGGGTACCAGGCCATGTCCTGCCGCTAGTACTTGGTGCATGTGGGTGGCAGCTTGCAGATGTTCTTGGTGTACTGGGGGCAATAGGGGGCCGGGGGGCAGTAGCGCTGCACAGGGGGGCAATAGCGCTGCACGGGGGGGCAGTAGGGCTGCACAGGAGGGCAGCAGGGAGTCACGTAGGCGTACTTCTGCACAGGCTGCCTCTGGATGGTGTAGTGGTAGAAGGGCTCTGTGTCATGGCAGGAGGAGTGGGATCCATGGCAGGAAGACCGGGATCCATGGCAGGGCTGTGGCAAGACCTACGAGAGCACATCTTTCTGGAGTATCGGCAAAGCTGTCAGGAGCAAGAGACCAACATGGTGAGAGAAGCCACAGATTCACTTCTTATTTTCCCTTCCTCTTGTTTTTTCTAATAATATTTTTCTTGAGATTCCCAGCAAACTGTTTCTTTCTTTCTTTTTGCCTGCTGAATCCAGACCGAACGCACCCTTGATCCCACCTCATCTGCAGGGCTTGCTCTGGCAATTGCTGTGCAAAGGTAGGTCCCTACAAGCCGATGCAATGAGCCCCATGAGCCACTTCCAAACCCCATCTCCCTTGTGAAACAGCACGGAGCTTGTGTCGCCTGAGGATCCCTTTGGGTGCCTTCGCTGCTCCTTCCCCAGTGATCCTCATCCCTCCATCCGCCATTCACCGTGCCTGCCTCAGAGCACCGCAAAGGTGCAAGCTGAAGGTATTTAGCTAAGTCCCAGCTCCCAGGAGATCCATAAAAACCTCAAGTGGAGGCTTCTTCTCTCTCAGCATGAAAAGAAATAGTAAAATTGGCCTTACCCTCTTCAGCTACAGGGAGAAATGTCTGGAAGCGAAGGCGAACGACTGAGGAGGACTGGGCCGAGCGATCTTTTATATGGCTCCAAAAGGTTATCCCTGATGAGACACCTCTTTGAGATGACAATTTAATTATTTCCGCACTCAGTCCCACAGACGTTTGCGCTATCCTATTTTTAGTGTTTCCTCTTTGACGCAGTCTATTTCGTCCCGTATGTAATTCCTAATGCATTTCCTATAGGGATTTTGGAAGGCATTTCTTTCCCATTTCCTGGAGACCGACGCTAATCTCGTAGGTGTTAATTAGCTTGCCAATGGGCAACTGGGATTGCATCAGTGACAGAAAGGTCTTTAAGTCTCAGAAATGCTGACTCCTTGGGTAGGCCTACCGTTTTGTGCAGGTGACAGCTCAGGATTTTAATGTACTTGTTGTTGAATGCCAAGAGGAAATGGGATTACCGGCTGCAACTCATGGGCATGGCATGATGCTGGGAAGCCTTGTGTGATCTCTTCGATTCCCTGGTACGGCAAAAAATAAATGATTTCTGATTCTTCACGTGTTCCTTGACTTGCCAGATGACTTGGCTGACCCCATCAGATTGTTCCACGTATATCAAAGGTCATTTAGTACTTAAGATCAGAGAAAAATGTCTGGCGATGAGCTTGGTACAAGGTATGAGTACATTAAGATTTCCCCTTCCTTGGTTTCTTTTTCCCCTCACTGATTTCTTATACTTTTTTCACCTGACCTCACCTGCAGCGATGTCTGGAAAGCAAAGGATTTGGAGAAAGGGAGCATTGGAGCTGAAGTTTGAGCAGATGTTGGGTTCTGTAACTAATGGCAAAATTATGGGCACTGAAGCTGGATTTATAGTCCTGTTTGACTCAGTCTTTGAAACGTAAGAAAATGAAGCCCGTAACTCATCAACTTTGGAAAATGTTACCCATTAGAGTAATTTACTACCTGCTAACGAGAAGCTCTTTCTAAAGTATGGGTGTCCTACAGCTTTTCTTCAGGCTAGAGGCAATATTACGGCTTGTGGTGAGTTTTGTGTAGCAAGGGACAATTGCACAAATTCCTCAGGGACGTTTTGTGATTCAATTGCAGGTCCAAAACCAAGACAGGCTGCAGCTGCCCAGTCGACCAGCCGGTGTTTGCGTGACAGTTCTCCTTTCCTCCATGCTTTGGCCCAGAGCATCACATCAATGTTCCTCCAAAATCTTTCTACGTCCTCAACAGCCTTCCAAATCTGGGGTGTCCTAGGTTATACCCACTCCAAAAATGTTTCTGAATCTTTCAAATTCAGATCCTGCTGAGGAAAACATGAGTTCTAAAGACTTATCATCCCTTGCATGCAGTTCTTTTAGGAGAGTGTGTAAGGGAAGCCAAACCTACGGTGATGAAATGTCATTTTAGAGCAATGTGGCGGTTGATACTTGCTCAGTTACATTCAGCAGTGTTTGGTTTACGAGCACTCCGTAATAACTGTGGTGTTCAGACCTGTGCTGTGCAAGTGCACAAGACTCTTACATGAGATGGATCTTCTCTGAGCTAACCTATTTCTCTGCTCCAAAGTATGTACTAGGACAAGGAACACTGGAATATGGAAAAGAAGTTTGTGACTTCTGTTTTCAGAGGCTCAGAGATATTAAGGTATTTGAAAATATTCAAGTTCTGAAGTTGAGCTTGGAGTAAATCATTGCATGTATTGAGTAAGAATATTAGCAACTGTGAACTACTTATTCCTCTTTCATTTAATGAGCTATGCTTGTCTCCGAAACAAAAGAGTTTGCATTCAATTATCTTTGATGTTGTTGTTTTCAAAATGATGGGACAAAAAGCTGTGTAGACCAGCTCATCGTGTGGTGTAAGCAGGGGAAGGTTTGTTCTGCTCAGCCCTTTAGATCCATGTAGATTTTTGGTAGTTGAGAAATTTTTCCTCCTCTAATGTGTCTGTTTTCTTCCCAAATGAATGTAGGAGTTGTTGTTATTGGCCACCAACTATTGGGGCACTTTGAGAATATGAGGGAATTTGACTGAAGAATCCAGGAAAAAAGAAAAGTCTAAAAGAAAAAGTGAATAAAGAAATTGAAAGACAATGCAGGTTTCATGAATTCTAAGATTTATTGTTTCCCACACCTAGATGAGTCTGAAAGAGAAGTGCATGGCATAGAAAGATTCCCAACAGTAATTTTGCACTGAATAATTAGAAAGGACATTTCCTGAATAATTAGAAAGAATAACACCTTAAATGATAATTAGGAGAACACTTCATCCACACCAGCAGTGAGGCACATGGCAGAGACCCAGAGATTTCAGTAAGGATGAGACGATCTGTGGCCACAGCGTCCAAGGGAGGAGCGAGCCGGTGGGTCGAGATGCCGGGGCCAGATCCTGCTGCTAGTACTTGGGGCATGTCGGTGGAAGCTTGCAGATGTTCTTGGTGTACTGGGGGCAATAGGGGACCGGGGGGCAGTAGCACTGCACAGGGGGGCAATAGGGCTGCACAGGGGGACAGCAGGGAGTCACGTAGGCGTACTTCTGCACAGGCTGCCTCTGGATGGTGTAGTGGTAGAAGGGCTCTGTGTCATGGCAGGAGGAGTGGGATCCATGGCAGGAAGACCGGGATCCATGGCAGGAGGTTTCATGGCTGTGGCAAGACCCGCGAGAGCACATCTTTCTGGAGTATTGGCAAAGCTGTAAGGAAGAGAGAAGAGATAATCAAGCTGGCTCGGCTGTAACCTTCTGCATTTTCCTTGGCTCTTTTTCTGTAGTGGTCTGGGAAATTTTGTTTTCCTCTATTTTATAATATATGGGATATCTTGACCCTGAAAATGATACTGCCTTGTCTTTTGGGCAATACTCTATGACGGTCTAGCTCTGAGGGGAATTTCCCTACCAAGATGCTACTGTTGGCTTTTTAAGGTAAAATCTACTTCTAAAACTGCACAGACTTGTCTGAGATATCTCTCCCTCCATCACCAGCTAGTTTGGGAGTTCGTTCCCTGCTGGGTCCCAAAGACTCTGTGTCTTTGCAGATCTGGTCCTTCAATTATTCCTGTTTTTCTGTCATCCCATCTGCTGCGAGCAAACCACGAGCATCCTTAGCGTAACTTACATATTCAGGTACCCAGTCACCAAAATAAGAAATTTCTAAGACAAAGCCAAGGTCTAAACACAGAACTAGTCAGCTAGAATTCCTATGCGAGCTTCTGCTGCTCGATAGTAGTTAAATCAATATAATCCTACTTACTCTTTGTAAGGAGGAAGCAAGAGGAAGAGCACCGAGAGCTGATGCTGAATGAAGGAGGAACAGAGGATGGCGAACTTTTATATCTTCCAAAGGGTTGCCCAAGAAATTATGCACCTCTTGGCAATGCTGACAATAATTAGATAGTCACGTT